ATATATATATATATATATATATATATATATCATGGTTTGGTAAATTAGAATAAAATAAAAATATGATAATATGAGATAGCCTACTAATTCATAATTATGAAAAAATACAATTATGAGATACTAAGTCAAATACTAAGTCAAAATTGAGCTAAATTGAAATTATAACAAAAGGTCAAAATTATGAGATACTGTTATCCATAATTATGATAAAAGGTCAAAATGATGACATACTAAGCCATTATTATGAGATAAAGTCAGAATTCTGAGACATTAAGTTAATTAGAAAATAAATTATGAGAAAATCTAAATTATAAGATACTGTCAAAATTGACTAGTCAAAATTATGAGATACTACAAGTCATAAATCAAAATTAGACAAATTTATAATTATGTCATAAGTCAATTGTTTATGCAATAATTAAAACTTATATCATGTCAACTTTTTACCATAAATATTTTTGTAAATTTCAATATTGTCATTTATTATCTCTCGACGTTTTATCTCATCATTTTGACTTGTTATAATTATGACTCAGTATGTAGACTTATCTCATCTTTGTGACTTAGTATCTAACAATCACACCTTTTCATAACATGATTGACTTTAATGCAATTATAATTTACAAAAGCATGATTTTTTTTCTCATGTGGCAGAAAATGGGCTTCCAAAGATATTTCTTAAAATAAACAAACATTATCACCATTTCTTTTGCTACATCTTTCCACTTTTGTACTTAACATTTCTCTTTCAGAGCTTTTGTGCAAGCCATATCATACTGCTTTAAGGTCAGTAAATATAGACACTGTAATGTCACTCTTTTGATGTAAGAAAGATCAAACCAATTTTTAAGGAGGAGAATTGTCACAGCTTAATGGGGTTGAACATAAAATGAGAAACAAAAACAAATTCTGCTTTTTCTGAAATAATACAACATAAATCATAAACTAATGCATAAAGCATTTTAGAAAAACACTACAGGCAGTGAAACAATTTAATTCTGTTTTTCCTCTATATAACCCATTAAAATGTTATGGTGATGGACACATCTAAATTAGCTGATATTCCTATGAAAACAAACATTTTTAAAAAATTTGTTTTAATATATTATAAATATTAAAAAAATTGATTTTGCATTGCGCATTAAATGGAGTCGGAGTCTATCAAATAATGTGACCGAGTTTAGTATGCTGTTGATTCTATCCGTAGTGATTCATTGAACACATATAGCATTTCCTGAGAATGAACAAAGTGAACATCTGTCACACGCTTTACACAACTGAAAATGCAATTTCATCTGAACACTCAATTTAAAGACCCATTCAAAGATCCATCAACTGTACAGTGTACCGTTTGTTGAAAGCATTGTTCAGTTTAACTTCAGAATAATGTTTTCTCCCATCTCTGTCAAACACAAGAACCACCTTCCAACCAATAGCCATGAGCTGCTCCACAGTCACTGAAGCTCAAACATAGACCCACACTGTGCCTGCAGCTTTCATCTGTCCAACAAATTGTTACGGTGATTATTAAACTCTTATATTATTTTTATTTTGTTTGAATTCTACATTCTTGCATTTAAAATGTCATTTTAATGTAGCCTACTTGCACCCTATCTTATCACTGACATGCGCTGCCACCTTGTGATCTAAACAGGAACTCCTGCCAGCAAACGGAATTATCGGTTTAAAAACAATATTGAATTATAATACTAAAATGTTTATTAAGCTAAGAATAAGGTTTTCTTCTTTTTTTTCAGTTTCTCTTATCCTGATTAAAAGAGTGTCCAAACCAAAACCTCCCAAAAATCAGAGATTATACTAAACACTCATTTAATTTGCCAACTATCTCCGTTTACTGTATTATAAAACATATTTTTTGTCTAGTGAGAGACAGCGAAGTACAGCTTTTCTTACATCTAATCTTTTGCACACATACATTTGCAGTGTTAAGTAAATTAAGAAGGGGAACTGTATGATTTTAAGCTCAAAGGTTTCACCCCACTGTGGTCAGGCACTTTCTAAGCGCACCAGCAGTTCATGTAAATACTCTTGCCCAAGGGAGTCTGAGGGTCTTGTCTGTGTATCTTTTGCATATGGTTTCTTCTATCTTTTAATAATATTTATGATGTCTACCGTCACAATGCACACACCTGTAAGATTCCATAACCAAGCCATCAACTCTAAATACATGTGCATTTATGAAAATAAGCTTTTTTAACAATTATTTGAAATACACTGATAGAATTTGTTTTGAAATTACTGACATTATATCATTTGTAAAACTAATATATTCCATTTTCTTTTAAGTAACAACAATGGAGTCTATTTTTGTTTCTGAAGCAGAAGCTGCCACATAATCAACTTAAACACCATAATCAATTTTTAATATAATGAAAGGAGACTCGAGCTAGCATAACAAAATGTGATTGTCTTTTTAAATTCTGTTCATAATACAAAATAAAGAAATGTAACTACAGAAGTTATCAGCAGAGGGCAGTATATTGTACACATACTGTATGTAGTACAAAAGGCAACCCAAAAACGTCAAACATGTTAAGTATTATTAAATATAAATCATTTCAGTTGTGGTACAATATATTTATATTCATATAAATTTTTTTAGAAAGACCCTGCAAATTTTTGAAGAATATTTATGCTGTTCTTTTCCTAGTAAAATTTCATTTAGTAACTACATCTTTCAAGCACCAAAAAGGACAAGACGTTACTCAATTTGAAATTAAAATAATCAAAACTGTACAGAAAGTAAAAAATAAAAAGTGTAAGAGTTTCTACATTCAATTATTAAAAGTATTCTTTTTTTCTTAATTATTCACACTGATAAAACCTAAACCACAGTGGGTTTTTTTTTTTTTTTTTACTAATTAAAGCAGCTGAATGCAAAAACCATGCAAAACCTGTTTAATGACAATGTTCGCAATATCCTCAGGCTCTGAGACTTTAAGAAACACCAGATGTTAAATTATGATGTAAATCAGATGTTGGACCATATATTTAGAAACCTGTTAAACATTAAAATCCTTTTTTTTTTTTAAAGTTGTAAGGTGGGACACTGGGACTTGATTTTATCCATCAGGAATTGATTGGATTGTTTGATTGTTGTCGTTTACTATTGGTGTGATCTGATATGTTACTGGAGCGGAGAGGTTATTGTCCTGCCCTTGTGCCAGTGAACACGTCATCAGAGAAGAGATGATTGCAAGGGGGCAGGGTAGTTATTATGATTAAAGATTACGAGGGCACATGAATTAAAATTAAATACAATAATGATGTGAACAGATAAATAATTCATAATAAACACTGCAATATTCTATAAAAAATAAGAATAGTTGAATTTTGATTTTATGATGACTTCAGCAAAAGGCAGCTTATTTTATTGTTGTTTTATAGCTAGTTGTTGAATATAATCAAGTCTGTGACAAATTGTACACACTCTATGTAGGCCTACAGTATGTTAAATTAAAAATATCCTGTTGTGATGAGCAAAGACATGTCTTTTTTGACCAGATACATTACATATTACAAGAATATTGCCGGTTTAAACATAAATATACATATTTCTGCATGAAAATCTCAAATTGTCTTTTTATGGTTCAGCTGTGATATAAAGGTTTTCCCATTCTGCAAACAAAACCTCCTGATCCATTATGTCATTACAATAAAGAGTCATTTCCCATGCACGTGTTTCTGTGTGTCCATGAACAGCAAACAAAAATGAATTTATAAGACTACTAGCACTGTCAGAAGTTTAGCTACACATATCTTTCATCTGCAATGATGAGGTCTGAGCTGAAGAGGGCAGTACATGCCTAACTATAATTCACACACACAGCAAAATGAGGAACATCCTCACTGGCCTGTAGAGCAAGTGTGATTGTAACACACTTCAATAACAAATAACACTGAAGGCATATAAAGGTTCTCAAAAATACCGTTTCAAAAAGTACCATAGGCTGCCAATACATATGGTACAGTGATAGTATCAACAAGGTAGGCCTACATGGCACATCTACGAAACATGTCCAAAAAGATACATGTAAGAACGTTCGTGTTGTGTTAGTGAATTGATCCTACTGTATTTTGGTTGGGAAAAGTCTTTACCTGCAGTACAAAATCGTCTTTCACCAGCTTCTCGTGGAGGTGTTGAGCTTAATGAAGTCCTTCTTCATCACTGACGAGAATAAAATGTATTTATACAAGTTTGTTTCAACTGACTGCAAGTAAAAAATAATCATTTCATCCCGTGCTAATTTATTTTAGTTCTAAACTGTCGCACAGCTGTTTTGTTTTACCATTTTTTAAAAAACGGCCAAACGTTTAAGCACGTGACCCAATTAAGCGATTCACTCGCGAATCGGGCATCACTAGATCTTAACAGTTAACGCAAAATACGGGACGAAGTGCTGAAATATGTTGTGAACTATTGTGAAATAGTTCTGTGCTCTGTGATCTTGATCGTCAGAAAAGGGTTTATCGGTAAAATTGTATTGGAGAAGGAGCCAAATTTGACAAGGGTGTGCGAGTCATGCCAGAATCACTTGAGTCAAATCGATGCTTCTCCGAGAGATGGCGCCCTTGACCGTCGCGTAAGTATTTGACGATTGGTTAACATTGGCTGCATCCGAAAACTTAGGCAGCTGACTTGCTGCCTCGCTGCCGTATGAGGAAATGACTTTGCAGGCATCGTTTTTGCACGAAGGCACCTCATGAAACTGATTTTGGACAGGCTTCTGAGGCAGCGTAACGGTTTAATGATCTACAACAAAATATAACAAGTTTTTGTGATAACTAAACGAATATTTAATTATACTATAATAATAATAATAATACTATAATACTGCTTTCTCGCTAGAAACATCAAAAGTGTAAAAAGTTAGTCAGAAATATACATTTACGCGCAAACTGACCACCAAACGCAACTTTCAGACACCATCTTTATTTTTTAGCTCAACCATCATGGAATGGAACGCACAGGATTGTGGGATATCAAAGGCAGCGAAGGATACATCTATGCTGCCTTCAAAATTCGATCAGAAGAAGGTACCTCCGGAGACAGGAAGTAAAGCTAAAGCAGAATTTGGATTCGGCCGTGCCTTGATGCCTTCCTGCCTTGGAATGCTGCCTCCGAAGGCAGCATTTTACAGTTTTCGGATGCAGCCATTATCCAATAGCAAGTGCTGTCTAAATGACGTCAGATTTTTAAAATTTGTTTTATTATTATAATTATTTTTTTAAATGTAGGTCAAATTTCTTGTGATTTTAATGTTAAATAGGCTACTGAAGATCAGGGTTTTTTTTTTATATGGAAACATTTATTATTTGATCTCTTGGAGAATCACAAAAACAGTTATGTTTTTACTGGTGATTAAATTTCATATTCACAAATTTAAAGTTTCCCGAAAAAGATTTTCAGTGAAACAGGCAATTAAAACTGTACTTTCTGTAACACTTTTACAATAAGGTTAAAATTAACTGATTTTTTAACATTACTTAACTGCTATAGTTAACATGAACTAACAATGAAAAATAAAGCATTTATTAATTTTAGTTAATTCTTATTTCAACATTGAATACATTCTTAAAATCAAAAGTTGTATCTGTTATCTGTCTTTTATGTATTGGACCTGAGCTAACATGTAACAAGTAACAATGGTATATTTTTTAATAACTTCAACAAAGATTAATAAACACTGTTACAAATGTTTTGCTCATTGTTAGTTATGTTAGTTAATACATCAACTAGCATTAACTAATGGGACCTTATTGTAAAGTGTTACAGTAATTTCTTTAATATTTATATGAATTAAGCTCCCTATTGGAAAAATGTTTGTGTTACATTCCTGTTGTTCTCATTTATTTGTCATGTGAGTTTTGTTATTACATTTTCATGAAAGACTACACTTTTTTTCCCCTTTGGAATAACTGATAGATTGTTAACAGTAAGACTAGGAATATGCATATTAACTAAATAAATAAGATACATTTTGGACTTTAATGTCACAATAATTTGTCATTTCTACTTGAGTTTAAACTCAATTTTACTCCAAACTTTTAAGTTTCAGTGGGTTGAAATTTCCTACAGTGTATTACTTTAACCCTACCTCATTTAATATTAATGACCCGTCTGCAAGTCCTGATGGAACAAATTTAGGAGGTCACAGACACTGACTCTGTAACACAATGTGAGTTTGAATCTTAGCAACACAAAGTCACTATACTTTGATATTCTGAGCACGGCTGGCGCTCAGGTCTTCGAGAGGACACAGAGACAGGCCACATCAGGCAATAGAGGACAGCGGGTTCTTTCTCACAGTGTGTTACCCATGGGGACACTGATCTAATTCTAGCTGCGTCCTGATTCCTCCGTAAAGGGCTGGACGTCTGAGCTCAGTGCAGCAGGAGGGGCTTTTGACAGAGAGAGCTATATGATGTCCACATTTACATGACCATTAAATTAGTCTCAGTGACTAATAATCATGAAATCCTTGTAATGACTTTTCATACAACATAACCGGTGGCTAATGGTGCTCTCTGTAATGCAGGAAGAGGGAAGTTAGAGTGAGCCAGCAGTAGCATTCAGACCAGGAAGGTGTATTACACCAGGATAAAGCTATCCGTTAGCTTTACCATTCATCTCAATGGCAGTTGCTCAGCTGACGCAGGACCTGTAGAAAGTAAGTGATTTTAAAGCTGCCATCTTTGCTTCAGTTCTGCAGCTAGGTTGTTTTGAGCCAATCACCTGAGCTGTAAACATCATGTGACTAATCATTCCGGAGCCGCAGGAAAATGACAACAGCACTGTGATGTCGTAGACGGCAGATGGAGAAAAATATGAATCCATTTCATAGTTTTAAATGTCACATTTCCACATCTTTATAAATCATTATAATTGTAAGTAGCAAAACATTGTTTATCATAAATCTAGCAAAGTTTTTTATATTTTCATTTTTTTTATTAATGTACATTTCAAATACTGTACTTTGTGTTTTCTTACCTTGACATTAAATTACAGAAAATTATTTAAGGTTGCTGTGCGAGTGTTCCTAATACAACAGCAAATCATCTTTCTGACATCTTTCTCTCTTATGAACACAGTAATCAGTCTTTCATATACATATACATATACATATACATATGCATATACATATACATATACATATTCATATACATATACAGGTGCATCTCAATAAATTAGAATGTCGTGGAAAAGTTCATTTATTTCAGTAATTCAACTCAAATTGTGAAACTCGTGTATTAAATAAATTCAATGCACACAGACTGAAGTAGTTTAAGTCTTTGGTTCCTGAAATAAATGAACTTTTCCACGACATTCTAATTTATTGAGATGCACCTGTACATATATTTGTTATAGTTTCCATTCACCGCTAAGTTGACGACTTCCATTTCTGAGAAGCCCATAAATATGAACAGGGTCCATTGGAAACTCGTACAACATCTACTGTATAATGAATGCTCTGGCCAATATATATATACAGTGGGTACGGAAAGTATTCAGACCCCCTTATTTCTGAGAAGCCCATAAATATGAACAGGGTCCATTGGAAACTCGTACAACATCTACTGTATAATGAATGCTCTGGCCAATATATATATATATATATATATGTGTGTGTGTGTGTGTTATCAGACTACATGGATACTTTTTAATGACTGTCAATGGAAAAATTTGGCATTTGCAGCCAGATGGTGTAATGACATCTAGCAGAAGCTAACAGACCCATGCTAACCATTCAAGTCTTGACACCTCTGGTTTGTCATTTGAAGGAGATATTTTAGAGATCTTTAGTACAGGCAGTTAAAACATAGTAGTAATAGTTGCATTCTGTACCCAATATACATTCTGATATGCTCTGGCATGGGGAATGTATGTATTTAGCCTAAGTACTAGTGTAGCCCACAGTACATGTATTTAGTTTAGCTTAGGATGTCCTGTACAGTACAGCAGAGATTCTCAACCGATGGGTCGCAACTCAAAATTGGTCACAGGTCTGATTTGATAGGGGTCACAGGGTCCGTGTTGTAAGAGATTCAAAATGCCAGTGGATTTACATTGTCATGCTCAGTGCATTGCACACACTAGATGGTGTCAGACACACTCCGACACTAAAACAGAAATAGATCACTAGCCATGATAAGATATACAGGAAATTACAAACCATACGTTCAAATGATGGATTGTGTCTCTTATACTATTAAACAGATTTATTTTCCACACACGCCCTCACTGTTCAGTCTCAAATGACTTTGCTTGTTAAATAAAGGTTAAGTAAATTTCCCTGTCATCAATGTCAGGTCCCACAATTTGCAGAGACTTTTATAAATGTCATTATCCTAGCAAATGGAAATCCTCTTTAGAGATGGATAAACAATGTCAATAATTAATAGGTTTTCACTGGGAAAATACTCACTTGTACATTAAAGAGATTCAATGCAAAGGTTGCAGATGTTTGTATTGTGTCTGGCAGTGACAGTATTGCTGTAGCACAAGCGGTTGTGGGATTTGTAGGGCAGAGGTGAGTTTAGCCGGAGGATAGTTGACTGATCCCATGAGTCTCATGCAGCTGAGGTGGCAAAATCCAAACCACACAGCATAAACAGCCCTGAACCGATTACAGCTTTTACATAGAGAGGTAGCCAGGGCTAGTTTTATGCTGTTTACTTCTTTAAATATTCTCAGGTTGTGTTTAGTTTTGAAAGTGCTTTAAAAGTCAGGCTACTGAAAGCAATTGAACATTTCCTCCCTTATTGGCCTTGAAATAAGATACATTTGAACACGTTGACCTTGTGATTACAAGAGCAACTATATGGGTATAATGTCACAATGGAAACATGCCTTCAAATAATCTATTACAGGGTTTTCAGCAAAATTCAACTATCAAAAATAAAAATTATGAAACACAACATTTGTGAAACAGCAAATGCAACATAAAAAAACAGCAGAAATTCTAATTAATATATTTACTACAAAAAACAACAACAAATGGTATAAAATTACATAAGTGAATTTATGAATGTATGTCACAGGTTTATCCAACAATTACAGCTAAATATTTGATAATATTGGAATTTTAGTTCGAGGACAATTAAAATAATAATAAATAAATCATCTTCATTTAAGAGATGCAAATATACAAAATCACATACATTTGCG